GAGTTGAAGCAGCATGGCAGATCAAAGTTTGACTACTCAAAAACAGCAACAGAGAGCAGCTGGGAGCCAGGAGGCGCATTGCAGCTGGAGCAGAAGATTGAAGACTCAGTAAAGGCGAAGAGTTGCAGTGTTCACAAAGGCTTCGACGAGGACGTCGAAGGGATAAGTGGGGGAGAATGTCACGGACAAACTTCTAAACAAGGTGTTTGATGTAATGCTTATATCTGTCCGTGTCTGTTGGCATGTTCATGCCCTGTACAGAATGTAAAGGGGCGGCCGAAGGCTTAATAGTCCCATTTTAGTTTGGTTGGTGGCCTCTTTAGGCTTGTAAATAAAGGTTGTGTCATGTGGACACGTGCGAGAGATTTTCGGTCTGTAATGGACCATTTTACCCTTTGTTGTGCCACTGTTCAGAGCTTGTAAAGTCTGTTTGTAATTTGCATTGTCTATGAAGTGCTTTTCGGAGATGTTTGCTTGTGGATCCCGATTCAGGCGTTCTCTCTTGCCCGTTCTCTCTTTTGTTGGTCCTAAGGGACAATGGGAGTCTTCGGGGAGGCTGACCTTTGCGGACGGACACGCAAGGGTGCCGCACGACTTAGGCAAAACCAGCTAAGTCCGTGTCAATATGTCGAAAGTCGTTTCGCACAATGAAACCCGATTGAATTCATTTTTATCTAAGGTACAAAACAAGACATTCATAGCCTTTGCAATTAGAGAAAACGTCTTCTTCTCCAAATCATTCCAATGGTTCATTGGAAGATAAGATATTTCAAATATGTTTTCGACTATATGCCATAAATCAAGATTAAATGACAGCAAGAAAACTCTTATTCGAGTTTTCCAATAAGTGTAGTATGTCCCATTAAAGAAGGGAGGACGACTAAGAGAGTGACCCTCTTGGTTACCGAAAAGAGCCATTTCTCTTGGTTGTTAATCCAAGTGAGAAATAACGAGGCTCTAATACCAATTGTTAGGATCGAGAGCACTAAGAGGGTGGTGGGGGGCGGGGGGGGGGGGGGGGGTGGTTTGAGTTAGTATAGCAGATCAAAACAATAACTTCGTAATATCTCTCGTACGTTGAAATCCGATTCTGACGTAAAAATCACTTCGTGCAGATAATAACTTTGAAAGCTTATAGAAACGTATTTGAATTAAAGTAAAGAAGGCAGTTTGCAATTAAGATAAATAGTACAAAGGAAATACAAATCAGATTTTAGAATGGTTCGATCAAACGTGACCTACATCCCCTTTCGGCTTCCTCTTTTAACGAGGTCACTAACGTCTACTAGAGGCCTTCCTTCAATAGGTGAAGGCCAACCACTCTTTTATAGTTTCACTCATTTTAAAGGGCTTAGGAGACAACCCTTATAGAATTTTCACTCCTCTCTTGAATGATCAAAACATGGGAGAAAAGAGAGAGGGGAATTTTTGGCCTTTACAACACTTTTGAGCTCTAAAATCATAGAGTAAGATCAAGCTTTCGGTGCCCTTTCATGCAGGAAAGGGTGGGGTTTATATAGGCCCTAAACTGGTTTAAATTTGGAGCGCAAAAATGTCATCTCCCGAATTTTCATGGTCCTGGCGGTACTACCACCATAATTGGGTGGTACTATCACTCGGAGACCGAGCTCAGGCGGTACTATTGCTCAAAGACCGAGCTCAAGCGGTACCATCGCCTGACAGGGGCGGTACCACCACCCAGTCTCGCTTGGAGACTGAGCCCAAGCAGTACCACCACCTGACCTGGGCGGTTGCACCGCCCAACTTTCCTAGGAGACTGTGCTCCTAGGTGGTGCCACCTCCGACCCAAGCGGTGCCACTGCCGGCTAGGAAATCTGGGTCTGAATGGGCTGATCCATTCAACCCAATTTGGGTCTATCAAGGGCCCAATTGCCCCCAAATTTAGTTAATGGGATAATCTCCCATTTCTAACTTAATGTACATGCTAACTACTATATTTCTTAAGATATTTACTGCAACTTGCTCTTGTGCGTCAACTGGTTCTTCCGGCGAACTTCCGACGAACATCCGATGAACCCTCGGCGATGCTCCGGCAAACTTCCGGCAAACTCCTGGACTTATGACGATCCACTTGGCGAGTTCCGATGAGCTTCTTTGGCAAGCTCTTGTACTTCTCGGATTTGTTCCCGTAGAACCTCCAACGACCATCCGGACTTCCGTCGAACTCTCGAACCCCCAATGTGATCATGGTATTGACTCCGGCGTAACTCTTGTTGCATGTCTTACTTCCATCATAGTTAATCCTACACATGTAAAACAAACTTCGATCTAGACAATTAATACTAAGCATTAATCAAGTTGTCTAGCATGTCATTGGTCTCTCGACGCTTCATCCGATTCTTCGGTGCATCATCATCTCCTACGGCCTATTGCCTAATCGGCTAGTTGACTCCGCAACTCCGATATCCTTGGCGCAATGTTCTCTCTTCTTGGCCCGATGCCCAAATCTACGGCCCGAAGTCTTCTGTTAGTATGTCGACCGATCCACCGGCCCGATGTCCAATCTTCGGACATGTTTCTTTGGCCCAACATGATTTTTCCTGCTTTAATTGTCTTATCCTAATCAAAGCATCCTGCGTCACTCAAAATATAAATTAAAACATAAACACTTATCGATTGGTTTTATCATCAAAATACGAGATTCAACATGGTTAACATGCATAAGAATTAAGAGAAAAAAAGGAAGAAAACACTATTGTAATCTTGTGTGAACTCATCTCAAACTCTTAAGTGTTAGCGAAGTCTAAAAGAGGAGGTTGTGGGGGGTGTAAAGGTTCTCTTCTAAGCCTGTCAAAAGGAGAATAGAGTGTCAGAAGGTGGTTGGTCTTCGCCTATTGCAGGAAGACCATTAGTGGATGCCAGTTGCCTCGATGGAAGAGGAATTGAGAGTGGATATAGGTCACAACGATCGAACCGCTATAAAAATCTAGTTTGAACTTACTTCTTGCTATTTACCTTTATTATAAACTGAATCCTTACTTACACTATGTTTCTCTACTTATTCAAGAAAAATGAAACAATTTTCATTAGAATCAGATTTTTATCGTATGAAGATTTTCAAATCGACGTAATTTTTTCACTGCACTAATTCATCCCCCCTCTTAGTGCTTACTCGATCCTAATAGTACCACCCAGACTAGGCGGTGGGATCGCTCAATGTCATTGTGTCAAGCAGTGGTACCGCCCAGTGTCAGACTAATAGGTCGTGATACTGCCGGTTCCACGAAACCTGAGAATTTATGTTTTGACTCTAATTTTTAAAGCTATTTGGGGTCTATAAATACCTCACAGATTCCTGCATGGGTAATTAAAAAAAAGAGTAAAAAAAAGGGGGAAAGAATTCGAGAGAAAAAAGTTGTAAACTCTTTAAAGTATAGCATCTCAAAAGTTCTTCTACGTGAGGAGTAAGATCTAGTATAAAAGAGAGATGTATAACGGTTCTCTCCTAAGCTCGTGAAAAGGAGAAAGAGTTGTAAGAGGGTAGTTAGTCTTCATCCATTAAAAGAAGATTGTTAGTAAATGTCAATGGTCTCGACATAAGAGGAATCAGGAGTGGACATAGGTCGCAACGACTAAACCACTATATATAAACTTGGTGTGTACTTTATTTTTGTTTTTCATTGTTATTACTTATTGATTTAATTATTTACTACTCATACATGTTCTATGAGGTTAAATGTTTTCCAATATGGGTTTTATCGAATGAAATTTTCAAACTGATATTTTTTTTACGAGAGCATTAATTCACACGTGTATTAATTATTAATGATTAATTATTCTTTTATTGAATCATATAATTACTAATAATATAACAAGATCAAGAAAAAGAGTAAAAAAGATTGCATTATACTTTCCAGTTTATAATGTCAATGAGTGTGGGGCGTCCGGTGATAATATGAGGGAGGTTATAATTGATGCCCTTGACGTGCCGGTGCCTCGAGGTGATCATTTGGAGGGATGTGCCATCAATGCCGTTGACATCGACAAGCACCTCCATGTCGTTGAAGCCACTGTAGACTCGGAGTAGATTCTTGTTGGTGTGGCCCATCATTCGTTGAACACCTTGCTGAACCATGGACAACTCATGTAATCAAACAGCAACATCACGTAGGCAGCCTTCATAGGGATGTGTACGTACTTCCTCGAAGGGCAGCCATCGGCTATGGTTTGGATGGTGCAGCTGATGACACTATTGGTGGCGAGCAAGCGGAGCATTCGGTCCACCATGGTGGCCGCCTGCGGGTTCTTGGTCGACAGCTGGGCAGCGATGTCAACCTGGCTCAACATGGTGCCCGGACCGGCCTTGACGAAGATGTCGAGTAGCCGCAGCTTAATAGCGGCCTCGAGGGTGAAGGGGAGGACATAGCCGCTCCCTAGTTGTAAGGCACACATGCCTGCCTCCTCCTCGAGTGTCAACTGCTGGATGTTAGTGGATGCCATACTAGTTGCTAGCTGGCTAGTTTGCAGAATAAGTGATGGTGGAGTACTATGAGATACGGAGGAAGACGGGTTGAGCTTAGGGTGGTATAAGAGGGGATTTTTATCCGAATTTATAGTATGTTAGAAGAGTTCTAAGTAAACTATTAGCATTGATTCGATCATAAAGGTGAAGTATATTATTACAGTCAAGACAATAAAGGAGTCATGCTAAGCAGTGAGGAGTCGACTCTCTTGTATTGTGATAATTACGGGACGATTACTCAAAGGGAACCCGAGTCTCATCAAAAGTATACTGAAGAGGTTCCAACTTATTGGAGAGAGTGTGGCTTGAGGAGATGTAGTAGTGAAAAGAGATTCCATCCTAAGATAACATCATAGATCCACTGACAAAGCCATTATCTCATATTGCTTATGAGCATCACAAGGGTCTGATGGAGATCAGACACATAAGTGATTGATTTTAGGTCAAGTGGGAGATTGCTAGTCATAGGTGCCCTGTAAGCTAATAATATGAGTGATGACACATGTTACATGATATGTAGTCTTTTTGCTTATTATTGTTTTAATATTTTATCACTTTATATTGCTTAATGCATAAGTATATTGTGATATCAATGGATTTGTATAATGAAAATTGAATCGTGATGAGATCATGATAATGTGATTGATTTACCTTTAAACACAAACCTCAAATAATCTTGGTTATAGGTTACTCGAGAGGGATATCGAGATAATGAAACAGACTGGTGTGTTGTATACCTATCTATATGATGGAGGTGACTAGTCTCACAAGTGCTCGTGTGGAGATAGTATGGCTATTATGCAGGTGCTCATTGGAGAATGAGTTCACCGATTGATCCGCTTATAGAATGCCGGATGGTTAATAATACCTCATTGTCAAATAGTGATTCCATCATCATATTGATGTACTTGGTTCTTTGACTTGAGACACTAAGGATGTCCTATATGAGTACTCCACTCTTTGATACTAGACTTATAGGTTTGGAAGTTTCAAATTTAGCACAACCGGTCATCGAGAATGACAACCAACCTTACAAGAGCTATGAAGTATCGATAGAGGATCATTCACTCTCGATATCATAAGAGAAATATCCTATATATTCTTGCTCAAACAAATCCTTGGCCAAGGTTATTTGGATTGAGAGAGAAAGAGTTCTCCGAGAGAATCCGATTAGAGCGAGACTCGAGGAGAAACCGAATAGGCCTGATAGCACTATGCTCGGTATATGGTCTTTGGGATATTATATGGATGAGAAACTATACGTACATGATAATTGACGATAGGTAGGTCCAAAGGATTGGATTCCTCTATATCATCTCGAGACTACGGTGTAGTGGCATAGTACGTCTATAGTCGATAAGTCGAGTGAATTATTATGAAGATAATAATTTACTAAGTTAGAAGGAGTTATGATAAGTAAGCCTCATGGCCAGCTTGATATTGGGTATAGATGGTCACATATATGGTAGGTGTTGTGACAAGTAGAGGTTCAGAAGTGAGATGTATACTAGAGCTCCTATCTTATAGGATATCCAATAAACCCCTGAATTATTGGATCCTATGGATGAGATCCAATATGAGCTCCTAAGAGATTATTGGATAGAGATCCACTAATCTAAGAGGCTTGGGTAATTGGATGAAGATCTAATATCCAATAAGGCAGGATTTATTAGGGTTAAGTTGATAGGGGGCCTCTATAAATAAACGAGAACTAAAGGGCTATAGGCTAAGGCTTTTTGTTTGCCACCTCATATTCTCCTCTCCCCTGTTAGGACTCTAGCTAGGACAGTCTTAATCGAGAGGAGAATTCATGTAAAACCTACCTAGCTGACCCCTATTAAAGACGTGAAGAGACTGGCTGGGGTTAGGAGGTTGTTTCTTAGAGAAGCATTAGGAGTTGTAAAGGAATATGTTTCTTAAGTAGGAATCCTATTAGGAGTTGTTTAGAAGTAGAAGTCTTAAGTAGGAGTCATATTAGGTGTTGGGGTTTAGAAACCCTATAAATAGCCATGTATTCATCCTATTTTCTCAAGCAATAGATGAATCTTTTCTGCAAGCAACAACTTGGAGGAAGGAACCCCTATAGAGTTCTAAGGAGGCCGATCTCCTAAAAAGATCAACCCCAAGCTTAGAATCTGCAAGGGTTCTAACACTTAGTATTAGAGTAGCATTCTTGGAGTCTTGCTGCCCTTCCATAGCCATCCATCAGCCCTCCACAGCCATATAAAGCAATTCCCACAATTGCTTAAAAGATCGTCATCGAATTCCACCATCATCTCCACCACCGCGGATCATCCATTGATCTCCCCATGAGTTACAATAGGTTCTGATTTTTTATCTTACTACTACTAAAATTTAGTTATCCTTATTAAAAAATCTAGCTATCCATCAGCCCTCCATAGCTGCCCAAAATAATTTTCACAATTGCTTAAAAAATCATCATCGAATTCCACCATCATCTCCATCACCGGAGATCATCTTTTGATCTCCCCGTGAATTGTAATAGGTTATGGTTTCCTACCTTACTGCTACTACAATTTAGTTATCGTTATTCAGAAATCCAAAAAAAAAAAATTTTGTTTCTATAATGCTACCTAAACTTTTTGTAGCAAAGTTTTCATCTCTATGACGAAAGATACACTACAGAATTCCAACCGTATAGCACAGTCTATTTGATCTTGCTACTATGTTTCTTCTATCCAAATCTTTATGAAATTTTTATGACAGCTTTGACACTTCCTAACAGCAGATTTTCCTTTAGTTTTGTCAAAAAATTCTTAATATAAACCACTGATCTTTTACGTCGAACCTGCTATACTTAAAAATCTGCACTGTAGAATTCCAGCCACATAGCATAGTTTGTTTGATCTTGCTACAGCATTTTTTCTATCCAAATCTTAACGAAAATTTTACGACAGCCTTGACACTTCCTAACAGCATATTTCCCTTTAGTTTTATCAAAAAATTCTTAATATAAATTATTGATCTTTTACGTCCAATCTGCTACACTTTAGATGTAAAAATCTACTGCAGTACCTTTCCATGATCCTCAATTCTTTTGAACCTTCCACTGTTAGGA